CTGCTAGGTTTGTCAGGAATCTGTTTGATCTTCCACTTGGTGCAGAGTTTGTCTCCCAGTTGATGTCAGGGTAGTTAAAGTCCCCCATTACTATTGTGATGTGCTTCCTACATACCTTAGTTAGCTGACTAGCAAAAAGTTCATCTATTTCCTGTGTTTGGTTGGGTGGCCTATAGTATACACCTATGGCAATGTCGTTCCCCCCCCCCTTTTATATTGACCCATATGCATTCAGGACAGTTTTCATCATTGTTGTGCTCTATTTCTGTTGAGATGTAGTTATTTCTTATATAGAGAACAACTCCACCTCCTCTTTTATTTGGTCTGTTTCTTTTAAATAATTTAAATCCCTCTAGCTGTGTGTTCCATTTGTGGGTTTCATCCCACCATGTTTCCGTTACGGCAACAATATCATATCTGCCCTCATTAACCTGAATTTCTAGTTCACCCTGTTTGCTGTTCATACTCTGTGCATTTGTGTATAGACATTTGATTCCTTTATGACCGACCCTGTGTTTACTTCCTACATAACCTGTGTGGTGCCTGAGTTCCCCTAATGTCTTACCACCTATTTGGTTAGTGCATTTTGTGTGGCACTGGCTATTAAGAGCTTGATTTTGCTTGACAGCAAGGTTGATGTTCTTGTCCACACACACATCTATGTTACATGCACTGATAGCCCTATAAGCACTGATAGCCCTATAGCCCCTTTCCAAACAGTTAATCTGTTTCCTGTTACAATTTATATTGTTCTCTTTACTCAGTCTTAAGACTAACAGCCTCAGTAATCAAAATGATTTATCTGACACTAAGAAAGTTACATCTGTGATGGCTGTATATTTTATTTCTGTCATTTTTCCATGTTATTTTATGATATTTAAAGTTCGTCAGAGCAATATAAAGTTATTTCATTTTATTTTATTTTCATTATAAAGTCTTATGCTTCATTTGCTTTTTCTCACCTTTCAGCCACTTTGTTGGTGATGATGCAGAAAGCCAGAAGTTTCTTGCTAATGGCTTCTTGGGTAAAAAGAAAATGGAAGGTTATACAGATGAATATGTAAGTTTATTAGCAATAGTTATGTTGTAGGCCTGTCTGTAGACATGTGGTGCAATTAATACATCATCATTTTTGTTTTTTCCTCAACAGCATCCAGGAAATATTTCATTCGGTATTTCGGCATTTAATTTAAGCAACGCCATCATGGGCAGTGGTATATTAGGGTTATCCTATGCCATGGCCAACACTGGAATTGTCCTTTTTATGTAAGTAGTAAGCTATGGTTTTTTTTAAAAAAAATGGTGAGGAAATATAGAAATGAAGCATTTGATGAGAACTCTGTGTATTTTGTGCTCAGGACAAATACACAGTACAAAAAACACTAGCAGGAGAAACAATCCAAATAAATCTTAATATAACCTTGTTAGGAATTCTCTCACATTTTTAACATATGAGAACCATAAGATAATAAATTCCTGTATACAAACCTGGACCTGGCAGAATTCATTCACTTGGTACTGTGGCAAACAGCACATATAATAGTAAAATCCAATATCATTTCAATCTTTGAGGAAAATCCAAATAATACTTTATATACTTAACAATCTATATAGGTTGATAAATGGTACCTCTCTCTGTTCTTTTTAAATGGAAAAAAGGGAGACAAGACTAAGTGATTTAGAACAGATATTAATTAAATAGCTGGCATGATGATGGGGCTGCAGGAGATTTTGCTTGAACTGTACAACCCTCAATCTGAAACTGTAACATGCAGATATAGATTTCTGTCCATCTAATATCTTACTATGCCAAATGTTCTAGCAATGCTGACTCTAGTGACATACAGCTGACATACAGTACACTATCTATACAGTATATCCTTTGATGGACAACAGCAGATGTTTCCGAGCAAGTCTTAACTAGATCTATCAAAGCAGGAGACAACTTTTAAAGCTGTTCCATTCAGCAGATGATTACAATTCTTTCAATCTAGCATCATGATGTTTAATTTGGAAAAGTCTGAAATAATTGGATTTGATGACTGGTCTAACAGCAAATATACTCTCAGTACTCTCAGTATTCTTAAATACTCTCAGTATTTAAGACTAAAAAAATCATAAAACAAATGTTCAGCAACAGGATAATGAAGTTTTTTAAAACAGAATAATTAATTCTTTATTAAAATTTAAAAATAATTATTGCTCAATCTAGACTGGATTTTAGATTGAGACAGGGTTTAGACACGAGAGGAAAAAGAGGAAATAGAGGTAGTTTATCAATTATTTCTAACAGTAAAGGATAATTTTACCAAGAAAAAATGTGTCTTAAATATATTTATATTAGCATTCTTAGTTTGGATAATAATTCAGTATTATAATCAGAAGATCATAGATGAGTTTTGGAACTAAAGTTTTCCCATTCAACTCCTCCACCCTCACACCATCAGCAGCCTGTGAAAAAGTTAGCACAAAGATTTTGACTTGCATCAAACAAGAATTCTCAATTATGCCTCCACTAGACATCTATAACTTAATATCAGTTAACAATCAGGAATATAAGCAGGGATGTGAACAAATATTCATATAGAGCCACTATGTTCATAGCAGCAAATCTGATAGTTTTCCTCATAGTGTTTTCTAAAAATGATAAAGTAGAGGGATTTTTACTAAAAATAAATAAATCCACAAATTTAATTTAAATAATATTAAAATGTTCAACCCTAAAGTATTATATATTTTAAGGCATTGATTCTTTTTTTTTATTGAAAATTTTTAAAAGTTTTACAATATAACTCCCCTCCTCCCCAAAACCCACCCTTCCCCACCCCCTCCCTCCCCCCCGACTTCCCAGAGCCAATCACAGGGTTAACAATACAATAAATATACTCTGTCTTACATTATGTCACTATTAAATTAACAATTCTATAACATCCTTTAACTCTCTTCTAAACAAACGTATTAAACACTATAATTATAACATCTTATTACTAATTAAAAAGAAATAAACTACATCAACAATCTAAAATTTACTCAAAAACCAAATGAAACTTTTTAGTTCCATATTTGTTCTCAATATAATCTATCCATCTTCTCCAAACCAAAATATATCTTTCTTGTGAGTAATCCTTCACGTAGGCAGAAATCTTAGCCATTTCTGCTAAATTTGAAACTTTAAATGCCCAATCTTCTATAGTGGGCAAACGTTCCGTTTTCCAACATTGAGCTACTAATAATCTTGCAGCAGTTATCAAATTCAGCATCAAATCCATTTCTTTTTTATCCAAATTTTCCATAATGCCCAACAAAAATAACTGTGGCTTAAACTTTATCTTTTTCTTAAAAATATTTTGAATATTCCACCATATCTTTATCCAAAATGCTTTAACCACCCTACAAGTCCACCACATATGAAAATAAGTTGCATCTAAATTTCCACATCTCCAACACTTGGGTTGTAAATTAGGATACATACGGGACAATTTTTGAGGATCCAAATGCCACCTATAAAACATTTTGTAAAAATTTTCTCTTAAATTCTGAGCTTGAGTAAATTTTACATTCCTAATCCAAATTGTCTCCCATGTTTC